GCTGGTGAATACGGGTATACAATTGAGCTGTACAGTATCTTTAGCTGGATTTCTGGGAATGCCCTCCCATTGTTATGTAGGTTTTCTCCAGTCTCCTCCCACAATCCAAAGATACCTGCTGATCGCCATACGGACTGGCATCCCATCCAGGTTGTCCCCTGCCCTGTGCCCTGTACTTCCTGGGATAGGTTCTGGGATCACCATGACTCTGTACTAGATAGGCAGTGTGGAATAGAGCAGAATCATCGCCTTTATCTGATAACTTGATATAGGCAGTATGTAATGTATGTATGTTTTCTGTCCTGTTAGGTATGACTTTGTAGAGATTGAGGACCCTGTTGAAGGTACCATTCTGGGCCGGTGGTGTGGATCTCAGGCTGCACCAGGAAAGCTCGTGTCCAAAGGGAACCAGTTTCGGATCCAATTCCAGTCTGATCAGTATCTTCCCTCCAAGCCCGGATTCTGCATCCGATATTCCCCGGTCCCTGTGGTAAGTGTCTCTTAACAGCCTGTGCAATTAACAATTAATACCATTATTATAAATGATCGATTTCATGTATTATGTTCTCTTGAGGGTAACATGTGGCTCAGTGGGCTAAGCCTATGTGTCTGTGATCAGAAGGTCATTGGTTTGAGCCCCAGCCTCAGCACAATAATCACGTCTGTGGGGCCCTTGAGCAAGGCCCTTAACCCCCAGCTCCATGGGTGCTGCTATGGGTGGCTGCCCTTCACTGCCAAACTTGGTAGCCGAATGCAATCAGACCAGTTTATATTTAATTTATGTAAAACTTTATAAAATAATCGTGTATAGGTGTGTGTGTAAACAGAGTATTATTTCAGTAAGTCGTAATGCACACATACTGCTTAGAAACCGTGATTCACACACAGACACACACAGACAGTTTGAGTTACATACGGCCACCTATAAGGTGTCCAAACAGCTCCTGCTCAGAAAACCACAGGCTAAACACTCAGAATCCATCCCCTTAAATGAGTTTGATCAAAATACTGTACGCTTCCTCTCTACAAAAGCCAAGATTACAAGGGATTGCAAAAACAATACCGTCATACCCACACGTCCCGCTCATTGAGTGCCATATCTTATTTTCCACAAGCAATAACGTTTTTTTTTTCTTTCCTTTCTTACTTTTTCTGCTTCTTCTGCATCAGCGTTCAGGGAATGTATGTAGTGCTGTGGATATGTTTTGTTAGTAGTCATGCCAAATCCTAGAAGTCTTACAAGTCCAACAGAAGAGCCCCACAAACAATGTGAGCTGAGTATTAGACTGCGGATGAATTAGTGCCCTGATTCATACCTCTGTTTGGACACAAATGGGGGATTAGGGAGATTCGGCTGGTGCTGGGCTTTGCAGACAGGCTGGGCCCCTTAGAGGCTGCTGCATTGTGCACTGCCCCCCGCCCCCCCCCCCCCCCCACCCTGGACCCCTCCCCTCCCCAGACCACACATGCAGAAACATGATGCANCCCTTAGAGGCTGCTGCATTGTGCACTGCCCCCCCCCCCCCCCCCCGGACCACCCTGGACCCCTCCCCTCCCCAGACCACACATGCAGAAACATGATGCATAACTGCTGACACTCTCCAAAAGCCATGAGATAACTTTAATAAATACTTTCCCAGGAATTACTCACTGTCAGTTTGCAATTATCCTGCAGTGTTTTACTGGCAAGATTTCCCTTTAAATCAATTAATTGCAAACAGATAGGGGCTCTGCGATGTGACCATCTACCCCTCGTCCACCTAAACAAGAAGATATCAGCTAGCCTTACTTTTTTGGATTCAGATTTATGGGTTTCTTGGCTGAAATATCTGTCATGTGCCTTTTAATTGGCTGGTTCTCAGAGTGCGGATTTTTTTTCCGTGCAATTTTTTTTTCTGTCCTGCTAAAAATTGATATTCGTTAACTATTTTATTATTCCATTAAGGGGAAACTCAATTGCTCCACACTGTTTATTGCTTGCTAATCAGTCTTTCACCAACATAATGCTCTCATAAATATGGAAATGCATTCCGTTTGGTCTGACTGCCAGATTTAGTGCATATTTAATAAGGAAGTTAAACCATATAAGTTATCAATACAGAACAGCAACCTCGGATTGATAGACCATTTCGCATGACTTGCCCAGCTGCAGATGAACGGTCTTTTTGTAAAATGTCTACCATCTATTCACCTTCAAGTTAGACCAATAAAACAACCAACTAACCAGACCCTGGATGGATGGATGGATGGATTGATGGATGGATGGATGGATGGAAGATGAATTATAACAATACAGCCGAAGCGTGAGGCTTAGTAGGTTGTGCATGAAATCAGAAGGTTGCTGGTTCAAATCCTAGAGTCAACAGAGTGAGTTCACCAGTAGCCCCCTGAGCAATGCCCTTAGTTCCCAACTCCCATCTGATCCTGCTTTCTCGATTGTACGTCACTTAGAGAAAAATATCTGCAAAAAAATTTAAGACACCTGCAAACCTGCCCCCAATGTTTCCAGTTCAAAACGCCACCTTTGTACCCACTGGGCCAAACCCAAGGCTTGTGCCAATGCAATGCGATTCCCTCCTTCTTTTGTGTTCGCTGAATTGTTTCCCCATCACCGCCCCGTTCCAATTTCTGCCGGTTACATTAGCCAAATCTCGTCATCTCCTTTGGTACACGTCCTGATAACTGTCCCGCGGTGCATTGTAGCGTCACTCATCAAATGCAATCCTGAGGGGATATTTCCTGTTTGCGGTAGGATGGGGATTTTCAAGGCACCTCCGTGGGGGTATTTGCATAGTGTCCCTGCAAGTCTAAACTCTAAATGCGCCTTATTGTTACAGTGGAACAATGGTGCAACTTACATTTATTACTGCAATTTTGATATCTATCAGATGGTCCTTTTATCCTTAACAGCCTGTAGGCAAAGTTTATTGCTTAAATATATAATTTTTTTTTTTTTTAGTTGGCAGAAACTTTTGTCCTGTTAAAAGTATCACTGTCACTTGAATCACTAAAAATTACCTCAGGATATAAAAAGCTCCAGTAAGTAACTGAGAATTTTTATATTCTTAAAAAAAAAGAAGAGTGCCCCTCTGCATTTGATTCTGGTTTGTGGAGCACATCCAGTAGTTCCCAGTACCATACCATTTCCAGTTAACACTTCCCATTATTGAAAGCACTCTTGACCTTTCTATAGCCCCAGGGAATTATGGGAAACAGGATTAGAAGCTAAAATGGGGGGAGGAACTGTGTTACCATATATAGTTGAAGTGTTAAAGAATGAAGTCCGTGAACTGACAGAACAGATTTAAAGACGGATATAAAATTTTATGTCGTCTTTACATTTGGTCATTGGATGGTTCCTTTTAGCGTAATCTGTTGCCAGAAAAGTAGCAGTCTTTATTTCGCACATTATTGAATTTTTAGTTAAATATGCTTGTAACATTAAAGTCTAGCTCAGGTGTAGGATTCATTGGAAAGAAGTTTGTGTCACCTTAACTTGTCTTTGGACTGGAGAAGCCTCGTGAAAAAGGGGGAGGACATGCAGACTTTATATATGAAACTAGAACCCTGACCCTAGAAGTGTGAGACGACGGTGCTAAATACTGTACTACCATACCACCCCTGTGACAGTTCATTACTACCTTTATATAAAATAATTGCAATCATTTTCAAGAAAACAAGACCCCCTTGTAGGTCCATATACTACCAAAATTTTTTTTATCACAAGCAAAGCGGCACATTCAGTCCTACAAGAGCTACAACATTGACCCTTGCTTTTCCCTTCTTTTTCTTGGGCTGAGATCAGACTCAGATGTCTGCTGTTAAACTGTCTGCCCTCCCCGGGGCAACATGTCTACACCAGGCTGTAACTGGATGACAAAGCCAGGGCGTGTCCTGCCTGGTCTCCCGTCACGGAGCTACTGGGCTAATGTATGGTTTTACTTCTAAACTCAGCCACGGATTTGAGGGATGCCATTTAAAATTTGCTCTAAAACGTTTTCAAATGTGTGCTTTTTTTTCCCCCAAGACCTAAACAGATACACATCACCCAAGTAATCATAATATTAGCGTTGGAAGCACTCACGCTGGTAGTTTCTCACGTATTATATTATTAAATGTTTAAAAACCTCCAGTGAAACACGCTATTCAGAAATGCATCCTATTTAATGGAAGGTGGCCATTTTAAACACCTATCCTAAAAAGAACAATGTTTATCTTTTACAGGTCCTATGTATCTACACTTATCTTTTGTGTTAAACTTATCTATAAATAGGAACTGGGATTGGCGTCCTTTCGGACAGTGCAATCTGGACATTTATTACTCTGAGAGGAGATGTGTCCTCGTGAAAGTGATGTGGAGTCACGAGGACACCCAGTCTGCCTTTGTGTTATTTTTGTACCACATGAGGAGGAGGATATATAGAAAACCAATCATTTGCCTCCACACTGACACACAAAGTTTAGCCTAAAAGCGCCTGAAGGCTTTTTTTTTTAAAAAAAAACTCCCGTGGTGGGATGTGTGTCATTTGCGAATAAAAAATATGACCGTGGGGGTGCCTGTCGTGGGCCACAGCAGTCGTCAGAGCTCGTTAGCGAAACGTTGATCTTTCATAATCAAGGAAAATACCCATTGTATTTGCTGCGTTGTGCGTGTGGGTAGCTAACTTCTGTGATAGCTGTGGTGTTATAATGTAACGAAAAAAGCTCTGGTTAAACATACTTTTTGTCCGCCGGACATGCCTGCCGCAGGGCTTTTGGACAATGCAACAGTGGCTTTGGCTTCATGCTTTACAAACTGTGCTGTTTATTTTATAACATGACAGGCCATCTAGGGACCAGACAGTTCATTCAGTTTCTCACTGCTCCTGAGCGCATCCCTCAGTATATGTGTAATTCACAAAACACCATTCAAAAGCTCCTTATCAGATATTTACAAGATCCTTGTTTTATCCTGCATGCGGAAAATATTTATCCTGAGTCATTATATTTTACCATGCTGGAGAGCAAGACATTTTTAGGTTGTGGATATTTCTCCGTTTTAATATTCCTTTAAAAGCGTCATTTTTAGGGCTTGTTTGCCAACACTGTCCTTAATGGTTGTACGTAAACATAACTATTTTGATTGATTCTTTTGAATAAATCTAGTATTAAACGATGAATTTTAATTATCATATTCGAGCTAAGGATAAAGTTTTATAATCCGCTTTGGCCACAGGCTGTGTTTTTTCAGCACTTGCTGGATAAATGGTCCTCAGAGAGCCAGTACAGGTGAGGCAGGCAGTAATAATCGAGCCCCGTTTTGACGCAGATAGGCAGCCAATGTAATTAATTGCAGGGTGCCGGTCTGTCATTGCTATCAGGTCTGGGTGCCGGGTGATGGCATCCCGCGCGCATGCCTCAACTGCGGGACCCCCCCCCCCCCCCCCCCCCCCAAGCCCAGAGCTACCGAAACTCCCAGCTTGCGGGGGCCGCGCTGGAAAAAAGGCGGCGATTCCTCCTCGCCGCTTCCACGAGGGAAACATAAAAGGGCAATAAACCCCCCCCCCCTCCCCGACATAATTTTTTTCGGAAGAGATTCTGGAGGCATCCGGCGCCGGGGCAAGAAGGTTGTTAAAACAAGAAGAACAGAAGACAGATTGACCGGAGTGAAATTGTCTCTCACACGTTGGTCTGCAATGACACTCCCCTCCCCCCAGGCTCAAAGAAGCCTTGTTTCACAGTTTCCCAGTACTAAAGGTCCTTGTTATCCAACACTTACCACAGCAAAGTGGAGAAACTTGGATCGGATTGGATCCCAGGCAGAGGAAAGCCTGATAGCTTGTCATTTCTGCTGAAGCAGTGTGGCCGGGGGAAGCCATTGAAGCATGTGCCAAAAGCAGGACCGGGTCTCCGAGTCGGCGCATTGACATCGCTGAATGAACCACTTCACCGTTAAGTCACATGTTCATTCGTAGCCCGATCCGTAAATAATGCATAAGTCTCTCTTCCATAGCGTAACCCTCCCCTCCAAAGTCGGCCGCCTCAACGCATCCAACCTTCAATTCGTAACAAGGCACTACAACAGAGGTGTCCCCCGCATCAAACTCATCGTCACGATGTTTCACCGTAAAGCTGACACAGTGTTTCAGTTACCAAAACAGCAGGTTTTATTGCAGCGAAAACAAAAAAAACCCGCTCGCTTAAACTTTCCAGTCAAAGTTAACGATCAAAACCAAAGGGACGAATAGCTTTTATTTTTTTGGACTTATGGATGCTTAATAGGTTTAACAGTGAAACAATGTTTAGAGCGCGATGAAAGGAGGCTTCATTGACATGGCTGTAGAGTCTCACACACTTCTTCCGTATTATGGTCTGTCCAACCAAGCGCAAGTATCTTTCAAATGGTTGTTTGTTTTATTTATTTTTGTTTGTTTGTTTACGGATTCCTGACCTTCATCCTTACTAAGCAGTCCTTTCCCCCTGTCGAAGCCTCACTCTCAAACATCTTTTGCTCAGGCCATCGGAATACAATGGCCTTCGTTGTTTTTTATTAATGTCAAAAAAGTGTATAATACAGTATTCTGCTTGTGCTGCTTTGTGAGGTATGCCAGAGCTACAAGCCCATAGAAAAAAAATGAAATATCCCTTTAATTTGGCACAAAAAAAACTACAAAGAAGAGGTCTTTTGTTTCTGGTCTCCAGATATTTGCAGAATTCTGCAGAAACTTCATTATTTTTTTAATAATAATTTAATAATGACTTTAATACATAGCTGTATATGTGTTATTATATGACACACCAGTCTTCTGTCCAGATGGGACGTTCACAGGGTAAAATAATAGCTCGATAATCAGATTCAGAGTGGACTTGCTTTAAATATTATATAAATGCATTATTGCCAAAAGTAGGAGCTCTGCTTAGAAATGTAATAACTGAAGAATTAAATAAAGCAAGGAAAAATGGTCAAAATGTGAAATATGTGTTAAATATGCTAAAATACAGTGTTACAGTACATTAACTCACTCATTGATGTTTTGTATCATTATAGGGATATTTTTATAACTGTTGTTTTGTGGATAGTTGATTAATTGTGTTTGTACTTCAGACCTATTACCAGGAACACTTAGAGGAATGAGGTTTCCAGGCTGGTGGTAGGCATGATTAACACGCACTGCTGATCACCTATTGGTTATCATGCAGTGATTGACAGCACACAATAGTTCCAGCCTCCCACCACTATTTACTGGTATTCAAAAACATGCTAATGATATGATAATACAGTGGAGAGCAGTGTGCAATATATCATAGATTCACATTTCCAACTGTGTGGGAACTCAGGGCTCTTGAATCGGACCCAGCCGTGGTGTCCAGTCAACAGCATTTTTGCCTTGCAGGGTGCAAAAAGGTTAATTTGCTAATTAATGCTCAGCTGGATTGGGGATCTACACAGCAGGCCGCCTGTAAGGATTTGGGTCTGACAGGTTCTGACTACAGCTACAGCTATAGTCTGTAATCTGCTCACCCAAACTGCAGGGCGACACAGTCATAGAAACCAGCTCAGATACAGTAGCTGAATAAAAAAAAATAAAAATCCTGCTCCTATCCAGTAAGTTGTGATTTTCTTCAGAAACATATTAAATATATAAAACATTGAAGCCTTTTCTCCAAATTTATATTTTTAATCGAAGGTGAATATTAAACTTAAATGGATATTGCTGTTCAGCTTGCCCTTATTGTATTGGGTTTTAAAAAAATTCTTTCATATTACTCTTGTGCAGCAAGCAAAATGGTTTTTAGTACAGATTACACTTTGAAAATGTAACAATTTGAAAGTCTTGCAGGAACCCTAAATGTTAGTTATCATTTCTCAGCACTTATGAAAGTTGTGGTATGGACAGTCATGTCTGAGTTTGCTAGTGTATATTTAGGACAGACCCTTACTGTGGTCATTCTTTGAAGCGTTTAAGATCATGAAGTCATGAACTGGGACAGCGGGCAGCCAGAATGCCAGGGCAGTCCTGCTCATTGTCAGTGGGCACCTTACCATGCTGGCCCCGAGTGCTGTGATTGGCTGGTGCATGGGACAGCCCCGCCCACCGAACATCCCCCCCATTTAAAAAGCACAGTGCTCTTGGCATTTACAAAGCTGCAGCGTTGAGTATCAGAGTTGCCAAGACAAGACACATTTGTCCTGTGTTTGATGCGCGTAGAATAATATTTAAAGGGCAAAGTATGCTTAATATTTTGGCTTTAAACTGAGACAAGAATAAACTTAATATGCACTAATTAGTCCAGTCTGTGATGAAGACATAACATTATATCCTGATCTTTTTAAGTATCACAGCATACCAACCAGCAGTGTCCTCAGGGGTAAACATGAAACATATTTAGTCTTCTACTATGACTCCTCTCTCTGCAAGCAAAAGAAATTAGTTTTGGTAACAGGACGTTTAATAATACCAAAACAAGGTGAGTCAAGGTGAGTCAAGGTTATAAATCCTATCCACTTTGTACTGGGAAGTGGAGGGGGGGGTGGACCCTATTCCAATCAGTCCAGGGCACAAGGCAGGGCAGCACATTCTAGTCAACTGCAGGATGCATGTATGCTACAGGCAATGTAACAATACCATTTCACCTAAAGCAGTGTTTCCCAGTCCAGTCCATGGGGACCCCCACACGGTCAAAATTTTTGCTCCCTCCCAGCTCCCTGCCAGACAGTCCAATCTTTGCTCGAGGGAGGGAGCAAAAACCTGGACCTTCTGAGGGTCCCCAAGAACCGGTTTGAGGAACATTGACCTAAAGTATGGTTTCGGACTTTCGGAGGAAACCGGAGTACCAGGAGAACGCATCGGGAGAACATGCATTGCTGGAGGTGTCGGGCAACAGCCCTGTTCACTGAGCCACCATTCCTACTCCCCACTGTGTCGGGACATCATTAAAAAATAAATACTCCCTCCTGTCTTGAATCCAGAAAGTTCCGGAGCCGGCGGCCCCAGCGGTGTCGGCCCCTTCTCTGCAGAGCCTGGAGGTGTTGACTGAAGCTGTGTCTGGCCTCAGCACAGTGGAGGAGGTCATGAAATACCTGGAGCCGGATCAATGGCAGCTCCACATGGAGGATCTCTACAAGCCAGCATGGCCCGTGCTGGGCAAGTCGTTCTTTCATCACAGGAAAGCCAGAGGTAATTCTGTTCATTTGTCTCCTTTGCTTTACCTATTGTTTTCACTTTGGAAAAACAACTGCAATCATCATTCCCTGCCTCAGCCATCTTTTTTTACTGCTAAAATCCCTACAAATATTCATGTATTAATCCGGTTAGGGCAGTGTTTCCCAACCTAGTCTTCAGGGACCCCTAGACTGTCCAGCTCCCAACCAATCTTGAACACTGGATACCTGGTTACACATGTTAGAAGCTGAGCAGACTGTCCAGGGGTCCCCGACGACTGGGTTGAGAAACATTGAGTTTGTCACTTTGACCCAGAGCATATTCTGGGAATACCAGGCCATCGTTGGCCAATCGCAAATACACAGCCGTACTTCAGGTCTCGGGGACTCGACCACCTGATCACCACAAAGGCAGAACCTAGTTGGCGAGCCTTCCAACATGTTGGGCAACAATGCTGTCCCAGCGGGAACAATGTTTTAATTTATCTAAATCCCAGCAAACAGTCCATGACGCCATTGCATTCTCTCTCTGCTCTGGTCTTCTCTTTATTGGGCAACCTGTACCTGCAACCCTTTTTGGGATAAGCACCTGATACCAAATTTCAAGGTATGCAAAGATTTGAAATAAATATACAGAAGCAGTCAAAAGGTAGAGCACACCTGCTTGAAATAGTAATTATTTGTGCTCTAAACTCTTGTATACTTGTCTACTAACAGGAACAGAAGTCAGTCTTATAGACTAATTTGAAATACTTGGGTTCAATAGGCATGTGTTTGTATGATATGGAGGTAGTGAGAGCATGGATTCTGCATGTGTGGTTCTCTCTATCAAGCATGATAGAAGCAATGTTGTGGGTTGCTTTGCTGGTGAGAGCTGGTGATCTTTACCAAATCCATGGAAATCTTAAACGGCTTAGGTATCATAACATGCTTCAAATCCATAACATTCCATCAGGATTATGGCTGAGTGGGCAGTTTGTCATTTTTCAGTAAGATTAAGACACAAAACGCACCTCAAATTAGTTCAAGAGCAATCTGGAGAAGGAAAGTGAAGGACAACTCAAAGTAATGGCCAGCTCTGCCCAGTGCCCAGACCTCAAAATCCCATGGAACTTGTAAGGGACTAACTGGACTGAAGAGTCAAAGCAAAGCAACCTGCAAGCACCCCACACATCTGGGAATTGCCGGGAAAACATCTTGGATGAGTTCCTGCTGATATTTAACTGTGACCTACCTGAAAACCTCATTGTGAAGCTGTTATCAAGGCAAATGGTGGCCATTTTGAAGAATCCAAGACTTAGAGGCAGTGTTCAGTTTTCATGAACTTTGTTTTGTTTTGTATGTATACTTGCTAGTTTCCAGCAAGTGTACTCAAAACTTTTAACAGGTATTGTTTGCTCATAGGCTCAAAAGTTGAAACATGATCTCCTACACAATGAGTTCTTGGACGTTGAAAAGTCAGCTGGAACACGTGTAGTCACCATATGCTTCATCTGTGTCGCCTGGTGTTGCCGGGTCACTCCTCCAGGCGCAGTGGACCTGAACGTGTTGAAGGAGGAGGTGAGACTGTACAGCTGCACGCCGCGCAACTTCTCTGTGTCTCTCCGCGAAGAGCTGCGGCGAACCGACACCATCTTCTGGCCCAGCTGCCTCCTGGTCAAGCGGTGCGGTGGGAACTGCGCGTGCTGCTCGTACGGCTGCCGCGACTGCCAGTGCGTGCCCACCAGGGTCACCAAGAAGTACCATGAGGTAGGGTGTCCTTTGTGGACATTCTTACATACCGGGATTTAGGGTATGGCAAAATGGAGGTCCAGATGGTCTCTCGTTGTTTTTCCCCATAATAGGTTCTTCAGCTGAGGCACCGAGGTGGGGGCAAGGGTTTCCAGAAGTCCCTGACCGACGTGCACTTGGAGCACCATGAGGAATGTACCTGCATCTGCAAAGAGGAACCCAACGGCTGAAGCGGTCCTGCTCAAGCAGCTAAATCTTCGGAGCCCCCCCCTGCCGTTACGATGAACTCCAAAACCGAGTCTTTATTTACAGATACCCCCCCCATGCCTACAGAATGGGTAGTGTTCCCACCCCCCCCAAAAAAAAAAAAAAAACTCTATGGATGACTGGCGTGCAAGTAAGAGGGCTTGAGTTGGAACTTTTGAGTGCGTTCCAAATAGAGAAGACTGACATTGGAGGGCAGTTGTTAATTATTTGCTCTTTTATATCACTGAGGGGCAGTCGATTGTTTCTCGGTCTCTGGAAACGCCGGCTGATGAAAGGGACCCGCGGAGGAAGGAGACGCTGGCAGCTCTGGCCTCAGACTCCCCGCTAGTTTTCTTTTTGCCGCAGACTGTTGAAATTCCACACACACGGCTTCAGAGGGTCTCGGGGAAAGCGCTCTTTCTTCTCCAAGTGTCGTCCATATAATAGGGGCTTCGCCGCCTTCTGACTTCTGATGTCCCCTAACGCTTGATGTCTGGGAAGTAGTTTTTATCGCCATCTTACCTGCTATAGTCCATGTGTTCCATAGTCCATGTGACCCAAGAGTCTTTATTTTAACATTCTGTCAAAAAATATTTATCTCCGCATTTCAGAGTTGTTTTTCTGGGGTCTTTGCAAACTTCCTTATTCTGATCTCCGTCGTTGTCCGATATGTTACCAAAGGTATTTAACACTACATTTGCATTTATTACCTTGATCAATACTGGTGATTGATGGTGTGAGGGGTGAGTTTACAGCCAACAGAGTCATCAAACAACTTAATAGGATGTGAAAGCTGTTGGGAAAAAATGCCACCGTGTACAGAAGTAACTCATCAGCCACACATACGTAAATTTTGTGTTTTTTTGTTATTTACATGTTTGATATGTTCTAGGATAGACATGGATTTTTTTTTTAATTCTATAAACAATGTAATGAAGTGTGTTCATTATATTTGTCGTCATATTTGTCAAACTGTGGTTATTTTGTGTCAGCATTTCCTAGTTATGCCTGTTTATTTTAGTTCTATCACAATGTGATGGGTCTGTTTCTATTTCATGCAATTAAATTTTCCCTGTGTATAATGAAACACAGCTATCCATTTTCGCATTAGATGTAAATATTTTTAGATGCATTGTTTTCTTGTCGTTACTTAAAAAATTTACACGCATTTGCTGCAAACGGACCTTAAAAGTGTGCGTTGAACAACATTATGTCGGTCATTAAACTTATATTGAATTTCTATAATTACCAATACTAATGACGGTTAGTCTCATTTGTTGAAAAAGTGAGGGTGAGTGATCCATGTTTTGTAAACAGTTTCCGAGGTATTGTTAGAGCTACGTGCTATGAAACCATTAGCTAATAAAATGTTTTCATTTAACGATGGGGTCATCATGGTGTTTCTGAAATTGAATTTCAGTATGGTATATTTGGAAAATAAAACGTGACATTAAAATTGCAGTCTGAACAAGGCTACAGAACAGCAGTCGTTTTTGATTAGCTTTTGGAGATCTGCCGCATGTTTAGTAAGTGCCTCTGAAAGTCATTGCATCACTGAGGTGGTGCGTATATGAGTCGGTCCTCAGTTTGAATCGCGTGGCTGACAGACCTTCGCCACTTTGAACAAGGCCCTTAGCCTCGAGTGACCGAGGAATGCTGGACACTGGCGGACTCTGTGATGTGGCCCTCCATAACATGCCATAACTTGTTTGTTTGGTGCACATGGGGGCAGGATGAGGTTGGCGAAAAGACAGTTTCCCACAGGGATGAATCAAGTATCGATATTATACGTATTATTTTATTCTCTCTCAGTTGGTTACAAATAGGCACTAACACATATCTGACTGGAACAATGCTACTAAAAGTGTAAAAACAATAATGCCCTTTAAATCAGAGGTCCTCCGGGGAAGTACATTCTAGAAATATCCATTCTGCTGCCTGTCAGACTTCAATGTCACACACACATGGCATTTTTTTTGCATTTGTCAATCATACACGCATGTTTTCGAAAGCGAATGTGTAATTACCTTTTTTCGGTTTTGCAATGACTAGCCAGTTTATGTCTGTTTTTTTTTCTGAATTGGTGCCAGCATGGTAGCAATTTACTCAAAAAAAGATAAAAGGAGTAAAAAAAAAATAAAAAAAGAAGCCACAAAGGCTAACGACAAAATGGGAAGACGGTAGATTTCTGTGCATAAATGTATTCAGAGCGATTTTGTTCACTGAACTGAAAAGGAATCATTCAGAGTACAAAGCAAACAATTAACCTTATTATGTAAAAGAGGCAAAATTGAAGAGGACGCAAATAGTTTAAAGGAGTAGACACGGTGAGTTTAATGAAATACCACATTCAAAACAATGCATAAGTAAGAAAATAATACAGATATATAGAATAATATAGATATATTGTTTTCAGGTGATATACATTAAGCTATTAAAGAGCTAGTCTTTCATGGCTTGATAGTAACCATCAATGAATTTGAATGATTAAATAACCAAAAAATCCACCAACATCTACAGATAGGAGATTCCATCCTGAGTAACAGACGTGTCTTAATGGACTATTGACATCTATTAAGTGTCTCCTTGATTCTTATCAGCAGTCAGGTCGCTGGGAGGATATTAGGGCAGAAACAGCTGGTCTGTCCTGACAGAAAGGGGGCAGCGGCAGATGGCTGGGGCAGGAGAGGGATTGGGGCCGGGGCGTGGGCCGGGGTGTAGTGAGTGCAGTTCTGCTGGGGCCGGGTTCTGGTTGTGTTCCAGTGCTGGGCCGAGACCAGGACCACACAGCAGATCGAAAGCCAGTGGAGGTAGCTCTAAAGCAGTGTGTCAAAAATGTTTTAGCGGTGTTGCTATGGTGAAATATATTTTCAGCAGGTAACAGAAAATTTGGTAACACTTTACTCACGGCCGTGTTTTTAGTAATTTATAAACACATTCATGATGCATTATAATGCATTCATAAAGCATTATAAGCATGGCGATAAATATTTATAAAAAGACATAACACATTATAGCCACCTTTATAATGCATTATTATTGCCTTATGAAGCTCTGTTCTATAATGCACTATAGATACCTTGATAATGCAGTACAAAGTGGTTATACCAACCATTATAATGCGTTTTTATAAGCTAGAGAGAGAGAGACTATGTCTCTCGGCTGGCCTGGGAACGCCTCGGGATTCCCCCGGAGGAACTGGACGAAGTGGCTGGGGAGAGGGAAGTCTGGGTAGTCTGGGTTTCCCTGCTTAGACTGCTGGCCCTGTGACCTGACCCGGAAAAGCGGTAGGAGATGGATGGATGGATGGATGGATGGATGGATTATAAACTATCAATAGTGCACTATAGATGAGAACTTCATAAAGCATTCATAATGCATAATAAACATGGCAATAATGTGTGATGCCTTTTTGTAAATATTTATAGCCATGTTCATAATGCTTTACGAATGTATTATTTGTTATGAATACATTTATAAATCACTAAAAACAGTTAATGCGGATAAAGCAGTGTGTCATTTAAAGAGGCAGCTTTCAGCTCCACGGGACCGGAGATCCGTCCATCCTGGACACGGAGAAGAACGTTCGACAAGACAAAACATCACATCTGCCAAATGATACAAGTTCAGGGACACGAAAAACAACAGAGCGCTGGTCTGTGTGCGTGGCCCCCGCCCCTTTGATGAAGGGAAGCAGCTGTGACATCAAAGCGGAGCTTCTCCCACCCATCTAGCTCCTGTCTCCTCCCTCCATGTGGTGACAGATGATAGGTCAGTGCCCCACCCAGCCAAGTCCGGCCAACGCCAAGCAGGTGGTACGTTCTGCACGTCTGCATTACAGTGCAAAAATCTTAGATTGCCAAAGAAAATCATGTTTAAATGATCTACATATTGGTGTCAAACTATGATTTCATGTCTGCCAGAATGTGTTAGCTTAACTTTTCATAAAGTCACCCCAGAGTTTGCAGTGACCATCCAATATATCACTGCTTTTGTTGGCTCGACCACCAGCATATCCTGTTTGACTAATCAATACCGGATTAAGCTATTTAAGCAATTAACTCTATGAATTAAGTGAGTAGGTGGTGATTTCGAATACATGGAATGGCTGAGGTGTCCCCAAGCAGAAGTTTGGGAACCAAAGTGTTTATCTAGCTATCTAATAAGATGTGGCTGACTTTTAGGCAAGTGTGCTGACAGAGATTTTGGGCCCCCAACCCTGAACAATCCAATTACGTTACAAATAGGGCCCCTGTTGTTCAGCGCTCCTGCTTTTTAATAAGAAAGTCTTATTATTTTTAACATTGCGTTACTGTTAATAATCATATGTTCTATTGTTAAATTTTTTTTTTTTCCTTCTGAGCAAACAGATACTTGCTACCCATGTAAAACGCTCTAAACATTTACAGTACTATTTATGTGAATAAAATGTCTGTAGCTGTAATTCAAAAAACAAGGACTATGAAATAAAGTTAGCTCTTAAGCTAACTGCACGCCAGTGTTCTGATATGCGTTTGGGGGATGAGCAGTGACAGCTACAGTCATTTCAGTGAAGTTGAAAGCATACAGTAGCCTTTGGGATGAACTTTCAAAGTCAAAGGCGACGAAGATCAGGTCGCCTTTTATCACTGGCATGATTCCAGCTGCCTAGTGCCTGTCGAAGGGTAGCTGGGGAGACAGCAGGAAAGCCGGAACATTTAATGAATATAACGATGACACAAAAGAGACAAAAGGCAACCCTGCAGAAAACAAAACAGCCAAAGAATTAAAGGCCCCAAAAGCAAACAATTCAATCCCAAATAAGAGGCTAATTATGACTTCAGCGGTGCTTTAAGATTCCGTTTGAATTGTATCTACTAGTGTGAGTCATTGTTTAAAAAATATGTTTGTGCTTTCAGTTGTTTGTGTACCCTTAATAATCTCATTAGGTGAAGAGAGTTGCCTGATACACATGAAACACAGGGGCAATTCTGGGGGGGGGGGATGGGTCACTGCCGCCGTGACAACAAGCATGACCCCCTCCTTGTGGCCCCCTTAAATATGCATGCTACTTGGGTCTGAAATAAATGTATTATTATCATTATTTACATCTATATATGTGGGCTAATATTTTGTGTGCTGGGAACAGGCAAAACAAACATAAGCATGTTTTCCCCACAGTCTCTTAACTGGGGGGGGCACTGGGTGACTGAGACGATTCAGTTGGTGAAAAGCAAAGTTAACAGCAGAAAAAAATTATCAAGCTTGGAATCAAGACATTCTAAACAAGAAATCAGAGTGAGTTATTTATTTGCAAAATCTGTAAAATATGACTGCAAAGCATTGTATATATAACATTGGTTTTCAGAATTGTCTTTTGCTTCTTAATGCTGCCAATATAATGTAAATAAATACATAACCGTTAAAATATATAAACACCAGGCCACGTGGCAACAAATGGCTTTGATTTACACACACCCCCCCCCCCCCCCCCCCCCCCTCCATTTCTGCCCTTCTCTATTTTTTGCTAGCTAGTGTTTTTAAATATAACAGCTATCTTCAGCCCTGTAAAAAAAATAAACACGGGAGACGAGACTCAAGACAAGTAGGTGCACTGGGATTTTTGTGCAGCTTTGACGAGTCTGTGTGCCCTTGATCTGCGGCACGCAAAGGTGCCCAAAACATGATATTGAGGACAGTGCCAAAGGCTCCGAGATCCAGCTTCATGCTTGATATCTTTCAGCACAAAGGCAGCTGAAAAACACTAAATAACAGCCTCTCAAGTGTTGAAAAGACTTTAGGAAAGAACAACCGACTCCTATACCTACAGAAGTTATCCATATAGGAGGATTTTTAAGTAGGTTAGGGAGATGCATTAAAAAAATAACATTTAAATCCTTGCAAAACTTTACTGAACTAAAATTTTACTGGAATGTCTGTGCAACTGTATAATGTTTGATCTTAACGATTGGGCTTTTTGGAAAAGGGTGTGGGGACTGAGTGGCTATGAGAAAATTGTCACAGAAAGTGATGTCACCACGGGGAATATTAGGAGAAACATTCTGGCAGCTCGTCAGATGAAGGTCAAGCCGCAGGCCTTTATTGTAGAGAAATTGTGGGGGGGGGGGGGTAAAAACAAAAAATGGGTCAAGGCCTATTTAGAACTAGCAAAGTGAAGCCAAGGAAGGCAGGGAATTTGAATATGCTACATTTATGGAGACCTTGTCAATAGGGAAATATACTAGGGCGGAGCTACAGGGGCACTGGCTCCAGCTGAAAGCTGATTGGCCCCTGGTGCCCCTTCTCCCCTGTCACTCTCTGAGTCGAAAAATACCATTGGCCAATCATATGGTTGGACCCTTTGTATGAATTGTGGCCCGTCTTACAACCCTACTATAATACATCCTAGAATCACTGCTGGTCGTCCATCCATGCTTCCCTGCATTCTCCCCCAGCGCTCCTCTTCCTCAGTCCATCGGGGTGACCCTGTATAACCA